ATATAGTTCTCAAGAAGGATGCAGAATAGGGAGTAAATCCAGAATTTTGAGTCTCTACCGACGGGTTGCTCAGGTTTTAAGACAAAGTGTGTGTTCTAAATGACAATGAACTAAAGAAAGATATCATGATAGAGGCTCACAGCTCAAAGTTCGTCATACATCCCATAATTACCAAAATATATTAAAGAATGTGACCCCGATTTTGGTAGAGTGGGATCAAGAGAGAGATAACCAACTTTGTCTCTAAGTGTCTGGTATGTCAATGGGTTAAGACAAAACATCAACACCTAGGCAAACTACTTCAGCCATTACCGATCCCGGAGTGGAAGGGGGAACATATCAAATGGACTTTGTGACTGGGTTGCCTAAGGCTCACTCAGGATATGATGCTATCTAGGTAATTGTTGACCGACTGACTAAGTCCTCCCACTTCTTGGCTATCAAGATGACCGACCCCTTGTACAAGTTAGCAAGAATGTATATATATGAGAGATAATCATGTTACATGGAGTTCCAGTGATAGTGGTATCCGACAGAGACCCTAGGTTCATCTCTCATTTTTTGTCTAGGTTTTAGTAGGCTATGAGAACGAAACTATCCATTAATACCGCATTCTACTCTCAAATCGATGGACAATTAGAGATGACGATTCACACACTAGAGAATATGCTCTAAGCTTGTGTTCTAGACTTCGGGGGTCATTGAGATGATTATCTACCTTTGATAGAGTTCACCTACAATAACAACTACCAAGTAAGTATCGACATGACCCCGTACGAGGCATTGTATAACTGCCCTTACAGGTCACTAATCTGTTAGGAAGAGATAGGTGATAGAAAATTATTTGTCCCAAATCTTGTGGAGGAGACTACAACTAAGATAGTTAAAATCAGGAAGAATATCTAGATAGGTTAGAGCAAATAAAAAATTTATGCAGACAGCTGGATGAGGGATTTAGAATTTGAAAAAGGTGACCGAATGTTTCTTAAGGTCACCAATTTCAAGAGGATCAGTAGGTTTGGCAAGAGAGAAAAATTAAATCTTCAGTTTATCAAGCCATTTGAGATCTTAGACCGGATTAGTACGACTGCCTACAGACTGATACTACCTCTATAGTTATGCAGGATTCGTAATGTGTTCCACATATCTATGCTATGCAAGTACAACACTCGGACCCCTCACATATCCTGTCCCACGAACCCCTTCCTTTCACTCTAAAAAGATCTATCCTATGAGGAGGTACCGGTAAGCATTGTAGACCAAAAAAGTAGAGTACTTCGCAACCAATTTTTTTTTTTTCGTTAAGGTCCTATGGCAGAACTATATGCAGGAAGAGGCCACTTGGAGATTGGAATCAAGCTTCAAGGCACAATACCCCCAACTGTTTAACTCAGTGAGAGAGTGACCAATTTGAGAGACCAAATTTTCTTAAAAGGGGGAGAGTTGTAATACCTGAACCGAAAAACCAACCCGGGATAAATTTTTCTTATGAGATTATTTTATTAAAATAATTAATTAATTTATTTTAGTTTTATTTTATTAAATTTTTGAGAAAAAATGAATTGAGAATGAGATTGAAAATAATTTTAGAAAAAAAGGGTGAAAATTTGAGTTCGGGGAGTGTTTTTTTTTTAAAAAATAGAAACAAGGGATTAAAGTGCAAAAAAAAAAAATTCGACTATGCGGAAAAATCCAGTTAGCAGCCCCGACGAATCGGAACACCCCATGTATCAAAACATGCTAATGTCAGCGCCACGCAGGTGATCTGCGTGCCTAGCGATCCAACGGCTCAGGTTCAATCTCACGCGCGTGAATAACTCAGATTCATTCCTTTTTTAGACGCGATCGGATGGACGAGATCAATCGCGATGAACAGTCCAAATTTGTTCCCTCCTTAGGTGCGATCAGACGGACGTGATCAATCGCGATAAACGCTCCAGATCGATGTGGAATAGGTATAAATACCTCGCATCGCAGGAGAACTTAAATCATAGCCGCTAGCCCCTACTGGAGAAGAAGAACCAGATGCTGGAGAAGAAGGTCACTGCCAACCGCCGACTGCTGCCACACCGTGCCACCACCGACTACCGCTGCACCGTGCCACCACCGATCGTCAAAAAAGGTAAAATTTCTCCCTACTCGCTCGGAATTCGATTCTGAGCATCCATGTGTCTATATCGAACAAAAAAAGACGGCGGGTGAGTCGAAAATTACAGGTAAAACCCGACAAAGCTGCCACAGCCAAAACAAAAAATTCTTCTGAGGAGGCCTTTTATGCTTTTTGTTTGGCGCAATTTTTCGATCATTGTGTTCACTATCTTTTTTCTGTGCAGGTTAGCTGAAGAATAAACCCTAACTGCGAAGCAGAACTGGCAGAGCCGCCGCATCTAGAGACCCTCTGTTGGTATGTTTTGTTTTTTCTAATTTTTCGACCAACCGAGGCCCCCTAAAATATTTTTCCGCAAAGATACATATAAAATCAACCTAAAATCGGCCAAAACTGGCTAAAACCAGCCAGGTTGAGGCGAACTATCGCCGTGGACGGCAAAGCTGGCACCAGAGCACAGCAGCACTGTCATGCCAGAACCTAAAATTGGTCGAAAAGAGTCTTGGACACTAATTTTAGAATTTTAGGTACGTGATAAATATTTTGAATTTCGTAGAAAAAATTCAGGAAATTCGATACCCGTTAGGAGGCATGGTAGATAGCGTGATATCTCGAAATACTAATCCGGGTAAAGATCTCTCACCCTATTCTCCGTTACGATAAATTGAGGGTTAATGATATATAACTTTGTATTTTTGTAAAAAATTAAAAAACTCTAAAAATAAGTATAAGTCTAGTAGTAGAGCTGAAACCAGTTAGTTCACAATTGGTCTAGCTTCCTATTTATTTTTCTATATTGTCCTAGTTGCTTGTTATCATATTGTACATGTTCTTAATTTATAGTTTCAATGGTCTTATTAATTTATCTGGTTTACTCGGTTATCTAGTTACTCGATCCCTTGTTATGATAAGCTACATTGTCTGCATAAATATAGTCTAATTA